CTCTCCCATTCACTGCTCTTCAAGTTAACCCAACTATGACGACTGCTGCTGCTGAGAAACCAGGAAATGTGAAAAAGGTCCATTGGAGAAAGCGCAACGCTAACTTGGCTCACGTGTCCTTTAATAACCAATCACATTACAGCCTTGACGTCACTGAATTTCAGTCAGAGTTGTGCAACACTCAATCTTATCTTTATTTATTTTTTTTATTTTATTATTTTTTTGTGCTTTGTTTCCATTTTATTTTTGTGATTGATATTATGTGATGTATGCTTATTCTTCTGGATGTTCCCTTCTCTGCAATAATAATAATAAAAAAAAACTCAATCGCCGTTTACGGATCCCATAGGAATTAATGAGAAGTGCCGTAAGCTGAATCACACCTGTCGCAAAAAGTCAGTGACTTCTCTTATTAAACGGCATTTTTTCGTGGTAAACTCTAAAAATAGTTCAATCCAAACGTATCATTTAGTGTAAAACATGTTGAAGATTAGCAGATGGCTGTCGATTAATTAAATGATAAGCCGTTTCCTCTAACAAGCTGTTTTTTCAGCGTAGTGAAGCCTCTCCTCCATTGACATCCATTAAAAAAAACGGCCTCCTTTCCGTTAGCATTAGCCGTTACGTTTTTTTGACTTAAAGGTTGCAGGCTTGGCTTCTAGTGGCTTTGGCTGCTATAATAATCGATCACAGTGCGTTGCATCTGCTCGCTTTCTGATTGGAGGACACGGGGGAGAAGGCGTGCCCTCTGCGAAATCCAAAAATGTGATTGGACCGTCTTTAGTCCCGCCTTCACCAGCAGCAGAGATGGACGCGCTGGTGAACCGCTCCGCCGCGTCGCGTTCGGTTCTGCGTTCATAACCGTTAACGTACGGGATCCTCGGCGCGTTTTGATTAAAACAGACGCAGTTCGTCGCTTGTTTCTATCATAGGATCTCAAGCCAGCAGGATGGCAGGTGGCGGCGGCTGCGTGACGCTCCGCGGCGCTCAGATCCGGGACCTGCTGGACTCCAAACACAACGTGCTGTTCGACTGCGACGGCGTCATCTGGAACGGAGAAACGGCCGTTACCGGAGCTCCGGAGGTGGTCAGTCTGCTCAAGCAGCGCGGCAAACGCGTGTTCTTCGTCACCAACAACTGCACCAGGCCGCGGGAGAACTACGTGCAGAAGTTCAGCCGCCTCGGCTTCGCGGACGTCGCGGAGGAGGAGATCTTCAGCTCGGCGTACTGCTCCGCCGCGTACCTGCGCGACGTGGCGCGGCTGCAGGGGAAGGTGTACGTGATCGGCTGCGACGGGGTGATGAAGGAGCTGCGGGACGCCGGGGTGCCGGTGGCGGAGGAGGAGGACGCGGAGCCGGGCGCCAGCATCTACACCTGCCCGCTGGACCCGGATGTGAAGGCGGTGCTGGTGGGATACGACGAGAACTTCACCTTCATGAAGCTCGCCAAAGCCTGCTGCTACCTGCGGAGCTCCGAGTGCCTGTTCCTGGCCACTGACCCGGACCCCTGGCACCCGCTGAGAGGAGGCAGGGTCACCCCTGGTAAGTCTTGCACTAGTGCATGGATCAGGGAACCTTAATGCGTCTTATTATTAAACTCAGAAGCAGAGAATGTGGCTGACATGAACAGTGTTGGAGTAACTGGATGCATGCAAATACATAACTTAATTACAAGATAAATGTAACTGTAATCTGTTACAGTTACTGAGAAAAAATGTGCAATTAAATTAGTTAACATCTGAATATTTTCACACACACCCACATAACAGATTTAGCTGATTTCTTTCATAAATTGCAGTGACTGCTCTAAAATATGAAACACTAATATTTCAGGAGTTCAGGACACATGATTGTTTGATAACTGTTTTATTTCCTATTTGGTTTTATGCATATGCTTTATTTTTTAAGATTAACTGTTTTTTTTCTTCAATTAGATGCCAGTGTTTTCTGTCATAACTAAGCAAAGATATGATTTCAAAATCAGTATCATAGCTATTAAACTATTTCTTGTTATGATATTAGACCTGTATTTAACCTCAGAATGATCTCAAAGTAAAACGAAGTGCTAAAGTCTGATTTTGTGGTGGCTGTGCTTTTAAAATTAAATTATTATAATCTTAATTATATAAAAAGAAGGATTTGGCAAGTGACTGTAATCAGTGTTGAGTACTGTAAAATTAACCCTGCCTGCTTTACATGTTTGAAAATGATTAACAGTTGAAAACATTAGAAATTTAGAAAAGTAATCAAAAGGTACTCGAATGTAATCAGTTACATTACTTCAATAAAGTAATTAAAATAGTTGCACTACTTTTTTTTACATTTTAGATCGGGTAAGTTGTAATCTGTAACCTATCACATTTCCAAAGTAACCTTCCCAACACTGCTCATGAAACATGTCCAGCTCATATTTCACCTCAAAATCAAAAGTGAAAGGCTGATATGGAGTGGGTATAGCATGTGGTTTAAACAGAAGATTTGATTTATGTAATAATGTGCTGCCATGGTTTGTTCCCAAATTATAGTTTTGGGTGCAATTATGCAAATGCAAAATTCTTCAAGCAAAATATTGGGTTCCCACAGTCCTGGATAACCTGTTCACAAACCTGGAAATCTGTTCTGAAGGCTTACATCTGTGCTCTCATTCATTAAAATCTGCAGCATAAATTAAATACTTTTTATTTTTTTTTTCAATGACGATAATTAATTAAAATGACAACAATAAAGTTTTGGGTGTAAATGTGCTTAACTGGCATTAAAATACACTAAGCATATCATTTCTTAAAGCAAAATAAAACCTTACAAATGTGGAAGAATCAAGTTTTTTATGTATTTTTATTTTTTTTTAAGAAAGATAATAAAGGACTATTATGACTCTGCATTGACATCATTTTGATGTTAATTCAACACTTTCTCCACTAAAACTCATTGCTTGCAATGCAAAATAAATAAATAAATTAAAATAAAATAAAATGTTTATTTATGATATAATATCATCTTTTAATATCATGGTAACTAAGCAGGGAAAAAACATTTTTTTGCAATAAGAAAAAAAATAAAGCCTATTTTAGGATCAAGATTTTTCTGCATTCTTGCATCATTTTCATGACAATTCAACTTTTTTTTTTCTCCAACAAAACTCTTATTGCTGTAATGCAAAATTTAAAAATGCTTAAATATTTTTTAGTTATTTATTTATAAATATCATATTTTCCTAAATTCTGACTTATTATTTTTCATGACAATTCAACACTTTGTTTCCGCCATTATAATCAACATAAATTAAAGGCTTTTTTAAAAATGACAGTAATGAGAGTTTTGGGTGTAAATGTAAAATACACTATTCATATCATTTCTTAAAGCAAATTAAAACCTTACAAATATGGTAGAATCAAGCTTTTTTTATAAAGGAAATAAAGCCTATTTGAAGGACTATTACAACTTTCTGCATTTTGACATATTTTTTATGTCAATTTAACGTTTTCTCCACCAAAACTCTAATTTCTTGTCAAATAAATAAATTGGTTTGTTTATAATATCATATAATATTTTATGCATTATGGCTATTAAAATCATGGGAACTATAAGCAGGAAAAAAATACAAAATATATTTTTGGCAGTAAGAAAATAAAGCCTGTTTTAGGTTTATTGAGATTTTTCTGCATTCTTTTTAATGATGTCAACATTTTTTCCAACAAAACTCTCGTTGCTGTAATGCAAACATTAAAAAATAAAAAAAATAGAAATGATTTAGAAATATATTTTCTGCATTGTGACTATTAATATTTTTCTGCTTCATTTTCATAACAATTCAACACTGCTGTAATCCAATAAAAAAATAAAAATAAATACAATCCCCCCATTATAATCAACATTAAAGGCATTTTTTAATGACAGTAATGAGAGTTTTGGGTGTATATGTGCTTAATTGTCATTAAAAAACAAGTAACTTAAATGAATATTTGGTTCCCACATATAAACATCGTCCTATCCTTGATTCCAATCCTGGAAAACATTGTCATAAGAAACTACTAGAAAGGGAGGGTCATGCAAAAAAACAGGAAAATGTATTGGTCAGAAAGTGTTTAAACCTGAAAATAACTTGTTTAGTTAATATTTGGCTTAATAACTAGTTTTTATTTCTTTTTATTTTGATGTGAAATGTGACATGGGCATGTTTTCAAGAGGTTTATTCTGTCTAAATTCTATTCAAAATTCATCAGATTCTCCAGCGGTTGAAGCTTTAGCTCTGCTGAGCTGTTGTTTAGGCCTGTTGTTAGAGTGACTCTAGAAGCTGACTGTCAGAAACACATTGACTGATTCACAATGATGCGTGAAGTGAACGCAGCCCTGCTTGAACACACTGTCAGAAGTGAGTGAACGCTCGGATTGGTTCTGCCTTGCAACATTTGCGTATGTTCAGATGAGCAGGAAAATAGTTCTATCCTACACAATTATTCGCTAACAGGTTATTTGTCCAATTTAATGCATATTGTACGCATTTTTTATTTTTTTTTGTTAAACAAAATAACTAGGTTTGGGCATCGCTTGAATTTTATCGATTCCGATTCTTAGTTTCGATTCCAATAAGATAAAAAATCCAATATAGCCTATACAAAAAAATGAAATCAAACATTTAGATGTCAAACATGTATTCTGTGTCTTTTTCAAAGCATTCTGTTGCAGCTGAATAACGAGCAGAAATCTGCAGCCTACAGAACCCTTAGGCCTACTTTTGCCTATGCTTTTAACAAAAATAACACCACAAAAACAGCTACACTAATATAAATTTCAAATTTTAAAGTGTTAAAGACAATAGGAACAAACAAATCAATTAGCAATAGCATAAATAAATACAACTGAACCAAATATCCGGTACAGAAACTGTAATTAAAAGTTTAAAAACACTGCATAGGTTTCTTTTCATAATTAAAATATAGATTAATTAAAGTTATTAAACACATTCAGTCAAGATCAGTGAATGGGTTTCTTGTGTTATTTGATTAACATTTATTAGGCAGCGCGTTTATTAGGCTGCTGTCTCTTTAACCATTCACGTCCTCGTCCTTTTTATGAGCCATTTTCCGAAGCGTTCTCACTTCTCAAGACGGCCACCGTCAATCACATAATCTCAGCTCTTTAATTGTGCTCTAGTCTCTGGTCAAAGGCGCTCAAACCACTGTAGCCTAATGTTATCTATTAACTACGCACATCATGTTTTAGGCAAGTAGGCAACTATATTATGACATAAAATATTTTAAGACTGAATTTGTATTTAACCTGATCACGTTTAATATAAAAGACATTTTAAGTTCAAGTATAAGTCAAGTCAAGTCAAGTCTGCTTTATTGTCAATTCTTCCACATGTACAGCACATACACAGAGAATTGAAATTGCGTTACTCTCAGACCCTTGGTGCATACAGATAACACTAACAGTAGAACATAAATACAGATAGATACAGATTAAATATAAAATACAACTATACAAATATACAAATAAGGTCTTACAAATGTGGAAGAATCAAGTTTTTTATGTATTTTTATTTTTTTTTAAGAAAGATAATAAAGGACTATTATGACTCTGCATTGACATCATTTTGATGTTAATTCAACACTTTCTCCACTAAAACTCATTGCTTGCAATGCAAAATAAATAAATAAATGAAAATAAAATAAAATGTTTATTTATGATATAATATCATCTTTTAATATCATGGTAACTAAGCAGGGAAAAAAACATTTTTTTGCAATAAGAAAAAAAATAAAGCCTATTTTAGGATCAAGATTTTTCTGCATTCTTGCATCATTTTCATGACAATTCAACTTTTTTTTTTCTCCAACAAAACTCTTATTGCTGTAATGCAAAATTTAAAAATGCTTAAATATTTTTTAGTTATTTATTTATAAATATCATATTTTCCTAAATTCTGACTTATTATTTTTCATGACAATTCAACACTTTGTTTCCGCCATTATAATCAACATAAATTAAAGGCTTTTTTAAAAATGACAGTAATGAGAGTTTTGGGTGTAAATGTAAAATACACTATTCATATCATTTCTTAAAGCAAATTAAAACCTTACAAATATGGTAGAATCAAGCTTTTTTTATAAAGGAAATAAAGCCTATTTGAAGGACTATTACAACTTTCTGCATTTTGACATATTTTTTATGTCAATTTAACGTTTTCTCCACCAAAACTCTAATTTCTTGTCAAATAAATAAATTGGTTTGTTTATAATATCATATAATATTTTATGCATTATGGCTATTAAAATCATGGGAACTATAAGCAGGAAAAAAATACAAAATATATTTTTGGCAGTAAGAAAATAAAGCCTGTTTTAGGTTTATTGAGATTTTTCTGCATTCTTTTTAATGATGTCAACATTTTTTCCAACAAAACTCTCGTTGCTGTAATGCAAACATTAAAAAATAAAAAAAATAGAAATGATTTAGAAATATATTTTCTGCATTGTGACTATTAATATTTTTCTGCTTCATTTTCATAACAATTCAACACTGCTGTAATCCAATAAAAAAATAAAAATAAATACAATCCCCCCATTATAATCAACATTAAAGGCATTTTTTAATGACAGTAATGAGAGTTTTGGGTGTATATGTGCTTAATTGTCATTAAAAAACAAGTAACTTAAATGAATATTTGGTTCCCACATATAAACATCGTCCTATCCTTGATTCCAATCCTGGAAAACATTGTCATAAGAAACTACTAGAAAGGGAGGGTCATGCAAAAAAACAGGAAAATGTATTGGTCAGAAAGTGTTTAAACCTGAAAATAACTTGTTTAGTTAATATTTGGCTTAATAACTAGTTTTTATTTCTTTTTATTTTGATGTGAAATGTGACATGGGCATGTTTTCAAGAGGTTTATTCTGTCTAAATTCTATTCAAAATTCATCAGATTCTCCAGCGGTTGAAGCTTTAGCTCTGCTGAGCTGTTGTTTAGGCCTGTTGTTAGAGTGACTCTAGAAGCTGACTGTCAGAAACACATTGACTGATTCACAATGATGCGTGAAGTGAACGCAGCCCTGCTTGAACACACTGTCAGAAGTGAGTGAACGCTCGGATTGGTTCTGCCTTGCAACATTTGCGTATGTTCAGATGAGCAGGAAAATAGTTCTATCCTACACAATTATTCGCTAACAGGTTATTTGTCCAATTTAATGCATATTGTACGCATTTTTTATTTTTTTTTGTTAAACAAAATAACTAGGTTTGGGCATCGCTTGAATTTTATCGATTCCGATTCTTAGTTTCGATTCCAATAAGATAAAAAATCCAATATAGCCTATACAAAAAAATGAAATCAAACATTTAGATGTCAAACATGTATTCTGTGTCTTTTTCAAAGCATTCTGTTGCAGCTGAATAACGAGCAGAAATCTGCAGCCTACAGAACCCTTAGGCCTACTTTTGCCTATGCTTTTAACAAAAATAACACCACAAAAACAGCTACACTAATATAAATTTCAAATTTTAAAGTGTTAAAGACAATAGGAACAAACAAATCAATTAGCAATAGCATAAATAAATACAACTGAACCAAATATCCGGTACAGAAACTGTAATTAAAAGTTTAAAAACACTGCATAGGTTTCTTTTCATAATTAAAATATAGATTAATTAAAGTTATTAAACACATTCAGTCAAGATCAGTGAATGGGTTTCTTGTGTTATTTGATTAACATTTATTAGGCAGCGCGTTTATTAGGCTGCTGTCTCTTTAACCATTCACGTCCTCGTCCTTTTTATGAGCCATTTTCCGAAGCGTTCTCACTTCTCAAGACGGCCACCGTCAATCACATAATCTCAGCTCTTTAATTGTGCTCTAGTCTCTGGTCAAAGGCGCTCAAACCACTGTAGCCTAATGTTATCTATTAACTACGCACATCATGTTTTAGGCAAGTAGGCAACTATATTATGACATAAAATATTTTAAGACTGAATTTGTATTTAACCTGATCACGTTTAATATAAAAGACATTTTAAGTTCAAGTATAAGTCAAGTCAAGTCAAGTCTGCTTTATTGTCAATTCTTCCACATGTACAGCACATACACAGAGAATTGAAATTGCGTTACTCTCAGACCCTTGGTGCATACAGATAACACTAACAGTAGAACATAAATACAGATAGATACAGATTAAATATAAAATACAACTATACAAATATACAAATAAGGTCAAATGTAAAAAAGTATATAAAGCAGCACAAGGCACACGGCAGATAGAGTGCAAACCAGTGAAGTAAAACAACAGTGCAGATATAATGATTTGTAGTGCAAAAGAGCTTATTCAGACTGATCTATCCTCCTGGAGTACTGTCTTTTTTGCCTCTCTGATGCCGCATATAACACCGCATGTCCACGATTATTCAAACAACGAACAAATTATGCCAGCAAAGAACATTCATTATCAAAGAATATCACTGAATTCAGTCTAGCGAGTGTAAGCACTCTAAAAAAGCTATAAGCTATAATCAGTGATGTTGTCTGCAGTGTGTGATGAATTAATCTCCTACTTCCCATGTACATCTGCACTTTGTGGTTTCTGATGAGAATTCGCCAAAGTACACTGACTAAAACTTTTGCATATCAGTGATGTTAATATTTAGTAAAATCCCCTTAAGTAATATAAATATTAAAGAAAAAAATTCTTGAACTAAAATCACAAAAGCACAAATAGCCTATATATTGATTCGCATATAACTGTCTAATCTATAAGAGTTTGGGCTGTTTAATATTAGGATTTTGTAAAAAATTCCCCACCATGGCCCCGCCCTGCAACATCAAGCCCCGCCCCCCTGCACCCCCCAGATAAAATAGGTTCCCGTGGCTATGGAATCAATCAATCACAGAGAGCGTTTACTCACTTCTGACAGTGCATTTACATAAACGGAGTTGTGTTTCCCAAAAGTAGCCTATCATGAGAAAGCATTGATGATTTTGTAGCCTATTCTGTGCAGTACATTTATTTAAATTTGAACGTTAAAAGTTTATATTGATCATGTTTTATTGTTAATATAAGTCATACACTCTCAGAATAAAAAGGTTGCATTTTATGAGTGCAACAGCCTATCAGTGGCAGTCCCTTATGAAAATTAACCATGGTTTTACTAAAGTGAACATAGTTTAACTATAGTATTTGTAGATTTCAATGGTTACCACTACAGTAAACCTATTTTAACCATGTGTAAACAAAAATATAACCTAGTAAGTTGCAATTAAGGCGTATTGAATGTTAAAATGTTTCAAATATAAAGTTAAGTGGGTATTATTACCCATTTTACTCTTAGTAATTTAATAAATTTCATAATTTAAAATTTCAGTTTAGAAGTATCGTATCTGTATCGATATCGACGATACTGGCCATTAAAAGTATCGGTATCACATCGAAAACAAAATAAGTGGAATCTTATCTATATCTTATCCTATACTTATGAATGGGAGAAACTGCGACTCGCAATATGGCGGGATAGTCCTGCCTTCTAAATGAAAGAGCCCATCATTGATTGGTAAAGTCATTGCATCACTGCAGCGGCAGTTATAAGCTCCGGTTCCCATAGAAACCCGAGGCTGGACCAGCCGATGCGCATGTGCAGTCATAAGCGCAATATAATGGCGCATGCACATTGGCTGGTCTAGCCTGAAAAAGAAGCTTTTAAAACTCTATTTGAGCATAAGAAACAACTTTAATGGGGCAGTTCATTTAAGATTTTGTTGCTGAATTGAAATATGTAATTTAATTGCGAGTTCAGCGAGCATTCATGATTTTTTTTTATAACCGTTGGCCAAATTCAAAAACTAAACTAAAATTAAATAATCTTTGTGAGCAAGGGGGCCCCCTGGTGTTTTGGGGGCCCTACGCAGCTTGCGTACAGGGAGGATCGGCTCTGCTATACTCGCAGCGCGTCAGTTTGATACGCATTGAAATTATTGCGGGGCAATAATTGTGATATTAATTTAATAATAAAAGTAACCGAACAATAGTCCTAATAATAAGAAGAATCTAACAGACCTACATTAATTGGAAATGCCAAATGCTCTTAATAATGCCAATATTTGATGCTTTTGACAATATCTCTGGCTATCATCGATACATGGTCATCATCTTTAGATGCACCCCAGCACAGGGAGGTTACCTACACGCCGATACACCACTGGACGCACATCCCTAGCGTAAACACAGATTTGAATGTTCCGGTATGACTTTTTCAAAGGTTTAATAGACACGGGCGATTCATTGTCATTTAGAAATGAGATCGTCTGGGTGCTTGAATCGAGATGGCGATCTTTTAGCGATTAATGGTGCAGCTCTAGTGTGAATGTGACGCAGGGTCCGGCAGCCTCACGGCGGCTCTGGAGACGGCCAGCAGCAGGAAGGCCACGGTCATCGGGAAGCCCAGCCGCTTCATGTTCAACTGCATCGCCAGCCAGTTCGGTCTGGACCCGGCGCGCTCGCTGATGATCGGAGACCGGCTGGAGACGGACGTTCTGTTCGGCAGCAACTGCGGCCTGACCACGGTGCTGACGCTGACGGGCGTCTCCACGCTGCAGGAGGCGCTCGCGTTCAGAGACAGCCAGGAGCCACAGCAGAAGCACTGCGCGCCCGATTACGTGATGGAGTCTGTGGCCGATTTCCTGCAGGCACTGGAGGAGTGACAACTACACTGTTCCTCGACCGGACGCTCTGCTGACCACAGTATTCCACTTTAATATATGTGACCCTGAACCACAAAACCAGAAATTGAGATTTTGAGATTTATACATCAATTGAAAGCTGGATAAATAGCTTTTAAATAGCTTTTGAATGGAATAGCTTTCCATAGATGTATGGTTTGTTAGGATAGGACAATATTTGGCTGAGATGCAACTATTTGAAAATCTGGAATCTGAGGGTGCAAAAAAATCTAAATATTGAGAAAATCATCTTTAAAGTTGTCCAAATGAAGTTCTTAGCAATGCATATTACTAATCAAAAATTAAGTTTTACAAAGGAAATTTGTAAAATATCTTCATGGAACATGATCTTTACTTAATATCCTAATGATTTTTGGCATAATCTCCCATTTTATTTTATTTAATTTTTATTTAATTAATTTTTTAATTTTAAAGTTTATTTTTATTTTATTTGGTGTTATTTTATTGTTAAAGTATTTAAGAGGACTCAAAAAATTTTCATGAATTCATTATTTTATATTTTCAGAATTTTTAAAGATATAAAATATTAAGAAAATAACGAATGAAAAAAATGAAATCCCCTTAAATATAATTACCTTTCAATAATAAAATAACACCAAATAAAATAATCCCCTAAAATACTTTTCAATAATACAAACAATTATAACAATAATAAAATTAAAAAAAATAAAACCCCCTAAAATATAAATATTTTTCAATAATAAAAATAAAAAAATACCCTAAAATACCTTTTTAATAATGCAAACAATTACAAAACAGTTTTTTTTATTTTGTTTTATTATTGAAAAATAATGATATATTAGGGGATTTATTTAATTTTAATACAATCCCCTTAAATTAAAATGTAATCAAATTTATTTAATAAATGATGACAGACTTCTACTTTAATATACTACTTAAATATATTTCTCCCCTTTATTTTTATTTTATTATAGAAAGGTAATAATATTTAAGGAGATTTGTTTTATTTCATTAATGTTTTAATTTAATGTTTTTTTTTTGTATTTTATTATTGACATTTGAGGATTTCATTTTTTTTCATGAATTATTTCATATTTTCTGTAATTTAATAAAATATCAAATATGAATAAAATATTAAATTAATTGAAATTTAATTGAGAAATGAAATGTAAATCCCCTTAAATGTAATTACCTTTCATAAATAAAACACGAAATAAAATAAAATAAAAAATCCCCTAAAATACCTTTTTTTTTAATAATGCAAGCAAGTATTAAATATTTAATTAATGCATTTTGTGTTATTTTATTTTTGAAAGGTGATTTATATTTGAATGGATTTTCTTCTTAAAAGGTAATAAAGTTTAGCTCAGTTTAGCTTCATCTGTCAGAGGAATCTTACAGTAAATGCAGCTCCTCAGATAAGACTCATTTATGCATCACATGCTTTCAACAGATTAAAGAAGATGAACTTGAATATGAATATGACTTCCTTTCTTCCCTGCGCTGTCAAGCTCGTCTTTGAGAAGCAGTCGTGCATGAGATGAGGTCTGAGTCTGTATGACTGCAGGAGGCGGATCGTAATGACACTCATCCTGATGCCCTTGTGTGAATATTCTGCTTCAACCTCATTCGTGCTCCACAGAACAGTTAAAGTCATCTGGGTTTGGAGGGAGAGTAAATGATGACAGAAATCTACTTAGTATAAGGATTGAATATATATCTCCCCTTTTACTTGATTTTTAATTTAATTTAATTTAATTTTTTATTTAAGGGGATTTTATTTTTAATTACATTTTTTTTATTTTCCTATTTTTTTTCTAATTTTTATTTTATTAAAATATAATTACATTTTAGGGGATAATATTTCTCTATTTGTGTGTGTGTTTTTGTCAAAATGTAAAAAATAAAATCTCCATAAATTTGATTTTTGAAAGGTAATAATATTAAGTGAATTTTATTGTATATAATTGTATATTAATTGTTTTGTGTGTTTGTTTTATTTTATTATTGAAATATATAATATATATAAAAAAAAATACAGTCCTCTTAAATTCGGTTAAATTTAATTTGATTTTTGAAAGGTAATAATATTTAAGGGGATTTAATTTATTTCATTTTTTATATTTTCCTGATTTTAAATGTTATATTGTTATTTATTTATTATTGTAATTACTTTTTATAGGAAGAAATTTTTAGTTTCATTTTTTTATTTTTTTTGTCGAAGTGTAATAACTACAATCCCCTTAAATTGGATTTTTGAAAGGTATTAAGTGGATTTTTTTGTGTATCATTAATTTTAATTGACATTTCCTTAATATTTTACAACAAATAAAAAACCAAGGAAGTGTAAAATAAAAAAGAATTCCCCTAAAACAAAAATTAGCTTTCAATGAAGGAGTATACTCCATAGCAGTATGAAGAGTTTGAAGTGCCACTAACAGTGAGGTTGTGAGAGAGGATCAGACAGTGTTTGTGTTAATGATTGACTGCTGACACTCAACTTCAGTCCTGTATTTTCAGAACGCAGCTTCATTCTCAGCCAACAGCTGGTCAGAAGACAATCAACTAACGTCCCTCGACTCTAACATGAGTTCTGATGAAGTTAACAGCATCGGTGATTAGTTAAGTCTAGTTAAAGCACTGTGCCAGTCCAAATCTCTACTTGGGAATGGGACAGTTTAGAGCAGTTTGACCAATGCAGTGACTAATTTATGTGCCAACTGCTGTATGTGTATTTATTTTGAATCATTATTTAGGTTTAATTGCATTCGTGTTATTTGACTGAGATTTGTTTTCAGATCTTGATGAAAATGTCTGACTACTGCTCACTTGTTTGTTGATTGGGTTTTAACTGCCTTTATTAACAAAAGTGACCTTTTTGACCGGAGTAGTTGATGTTTGAGAGCCGTGTGTTATTCAGTGGTTCGGCTTGATGTAAAGCTCAGAAACGTGAAATATGAAACATCTGCAAATCTAACATGCCAAAATCATCCCATGTGAAACCACTGAATGTCAACCTGCATGAATGAGAAGATGAAATCATACTGTGGTTTTGATTCTAGTCAGTCAACCGTTCGTTGAAACTGGACCGTTTTATTACAGAAACGTAATCCTGAGTGATTTCTGGTCATGGTTTATTGTCTTTAGACTTTGTGTCCATTATGAACATCTAGTTCTGAACATTGATAATATTGAAGACAAACATGCAAATGCATCTGAAGTCAACTGTGAACTGCTTTGATGGATTTAATGCTCTATGTGGTGTGAATGAACTTTTTTAGCAATAAAAACATGCCTTGTATCTTGTTGTTATTATTGTCTGCCCACGATTAAATTTACAGTAGATTGCTGCGACATGTTTCAGTAACTAAAACCTTCAGTAAGGTTTTTTATTTGTTAACAGTGTTATTAAAATGGTTATTCTAACACAAAATGGTAAGATTCAATAGTTAATTGCAACTTTTTTTAAATTAATAAACACTGTCAAAAGCATTTATTACACAAGTTATATATATATAATATATAGTTCATCCAAATCTCAACATTTACTATTTTTTAAATATTTAACTAGTCAATGCACTGTGAACATGAACATTTGTAGTTTTATTAGTATATCTATCTATCTATCTATCTATATATATATATATATATATATGTGGGCACATAATTACGGATTATAATGACTTATACTGTCTTTTTACGCGTTGTGTTGCATCGCCGCGTAAACATAACGTGTGATCGGAGAAATGACCAACAAGCGCTACTCTACACTGCTCAAAACTCGTTTGAATCGTCAGTGGCAAATTCTTTAAATATGAAGGATCATGTGACACTGGAGATGAAATCCATCTTTGCATCAGTTATATATATATTAGTATATTATTATAATGTATATCATATATTACTGGTCTTCAGTGTCACGTGATCCTTCAAATATAGCACTTGTCTTCACTGTTTTTCATTAAAGGGGTCATATGTTGCTAAAAAGAACATTATTTTGTGTATTTGAATAAAAGTTACGCCTTCTTTCTTTGCGTGAACATTTGGGCGCCGTTATGCAAATCTTCCCACATAGTGATGTAGACATGTGGGGGCGTGTTAGAACGAGCCGTTTTAGGTAGGCGTGGTTAACTCTTAACTTTTATAAAGAATATCTCTTTGGATTTGAGACTTTAGTCTTTGCAACTTTACAGATCTTCTTTATGCACCAAGAGCTTGTAACACTCCAAAGAGAAAGGAAAACTTGAAAATTGCATCATATGACCCCTTTAACCCATGTAAAAAAAAAAAAATGTAAATCAAAAACAAAGTAACTTCATCCATCAAACAGCTCTTTAATTCAACCATAATACAAGACACAAGAAACTTTTCACCTTGAAGCAATAATTTTGATTTGTGCCTTTCTATAAAGCACTACAAACATAATACATAAACCAATAAAACATATAAAAAAAAATTAATCAGAAAAAAACTTTTTTTTTGTAAGAAAGCAGTTATCAAAAAAAAAAAAAAGCTTTAAACAAAATGTGTACAAAATGCAGAAGCTATATGCAAGATCAATGAATTAATTTGAAGATGTAGAAAAACATGCAATGAGTAAATGTTTTCTGAAAGAGTGGAGTGTGACAGATGTTTGTCCGGATCTCATGTGTTTAAACAGCAGAGGTGTTTTTCATGCTGTGCCGTGTCTTCAGCTTCAGTAAGATCTGCAGGACTCGCTCGAGTTTGGGCGTCGCGCAGTATCGCTTGTCTTTGGCGTGGAGTCTGAAAGCAGAAATCGCACATTAATAACCATCCCTCAGAAACTCATCATTCAATAACTCATATCATCAATAACTCACACGAGCGCGTCGATGGCGCAGACGCCGTGGCTCGTCTGCACGTCATATTTAGTCACTTTCAGCAGGATCTCAAGCGGAAACTTCTTAGTCGTTTCAACGCAACATTTGGGTGTGACGCCTGAAAATCAAAACCAAAAACAAACCACCTCTGATAACATTCACAACAGAAATACAACTAAAAGATCAATTCTCATAGTGTAAAAAAACTAAAATTAATAAATGCTAACACTTTAGTTTAGGGACCAATTCTCACTATTAACTAGCATGCAAACTGTGCATATTGGCTGTTTATTAGTACTTATAAAGCACATATTAATGCCTTATTCTGCATTACCATATTTTAGATCCCTTATACTACCTGAACTTAACAACTACCTTATAAACTATTAATAAGCAGCAAATTAGGAGTTTATTGAGGCAAAAAGCTAAGTTAATAGTTAATATAGTGAGAATTGGACATTAAAATAAAGTGACCAAATAAATATACATACACACATAAAAAAATTTTTTGTAAATGTTTTATATATATATATATATATATATATATATATATACACAATTGATAAAAATTATGCATAAAAAAATAGATGGTAGAATAGAATTCCTATAGTGTAAAATAACTTTTTTATGATGAGATCTAGGGCTGTGAAACTCTAGAAAATGAGAAAAACAAACTCTAGAATGATCATAACAGTAGGTGATTTGATATTTGTGACCCTGGAGCACAAAACCAGTCTTAAGTCGCTGGGGTATATTTGTAGCAATACATTGTATGGGTCAAAATTATCTATTTTTCTTTTATACCAAAAATCATAAGGATATGAAGTAAAGATCATGTTCCATGAAGATATTTAGTAAATTTCCTACCATAAATATATCGAAACGTAATTTTTGATTAGTAATATGCATTGCTAAGAACTTCATTTGGACAACTTTAAAGATGATTTTCTCAATATTTTGCACCCTCAGATTCCAGATTTTCCAATAGTTGTATCTCGGCCAAATATTGTCATATCCTAACAAACCATACATCAATGGAAAGCGTATTTATTCAGCTTTCAGATGGTGTATAAATCTCAATAAAAAAAAAATGGACCCTTATGACTGGTTTTGTGGTCCAGGGTCACATATTGCAAATCTTATGATAATTTTGTGAAATTTATCGGCATATAATGAAGTCAAAATGGGCTTTTTTAGCTGATATGAAGTTGAATACTGTGCTCAAGACGTGTGGGTTTATGGAAGAAAGACACTGTAAGAAATCTGATTGATAACTCACCCGTCCTCTTCCACGAGCTCAAGACTTTGCCGGAGGAGACTTGGATCTGATCTTGGCTCTGCTGGAAGTGCTGGAAAAAACATGGGATTTGAAATGACATGAAACACCGGGGAAATTTCCAGATTAGTGAATAGATTCAGTTCACTTCAGTGTGCTTTTGTCTGAACAAGAACAAACACATGAAAACGTCAGTTCGCACGGACCAGGTGGCATTTAGCCTGCAGCGCAGAGATGAGGCTTTTCTGGCATCTTTACTGACAGGAAAACCGTTTATTACACAAAAGCGCTGAAATACTGTGTGATTGTGTTTGAACAACCGCAGCTTTACTATCAGGAGCAAAACAGAAACTGAACTACAGCCGAGGGTTCACTCATGTTCTCACGACAACAATAATAAAGCTAATACAGCTTTACAAATATTGTGCTATCATAACAAACCATGCATCAATGGAAAGCTTATTTATTCAGCTTTCAGATGTTCAAATATAATAGAATTGACCCTTATGACTGGTTTTGTGGTCCAGGGTCACATATGTTCTGTTTTTATTAGAAGTCAATAAAAAAGGCTTCAGAGAGATCTCCCCCCAGTGGTGAACTGTTAAAATTTCGAAACGTTTCGAAACAGTTATGATGTAACGAAGCCTCCTTTACTGAAATCATGTGACTTTGATAGTTTGAAACACGCTCCGAATCAATGATTCGTAAAGGTTTCGAAGCTTCATGAAGCAGTGTTTCGAGCGCACCCATCACTATCTGTTGCCTTGTCCAAATACGTGAGATTTTTGCCGAGATCTCGCGAGGTCACGGAAACCTTTCCCAATGTAAGTTAAATATTAATAGAATAATTAGATATTATTACATATAATTTGGTTGAAAAACAAAGTGTTGCACATTTTATTGGTGCAAAGATGAGTGGTGGTGATATTTATTTTGTACAACATTTGCAACTGCTTTTCATCACTTAATTAGAAGCACCACATATCAAATTGTGCCATGTTATAGAGACTACTGAACAGACATTTAGAAGTTGATTTTAAAATGCAAAGTATTTAACCCCTTAACTGGGACGCTTGGCGCTCTTTTATTTAGTTGTCCTTTTTCTCTATCAAATATTTTCGTAATCATCATAAATTCTATATCGTTTGAAAGCTTAGAAGCCCAAGATTCATCCTGTGAAATCCATCCATTTTGAAATCGGACATTGCGTTACCATGGAAATGGTACTTTAAAATCTTTTGGCGGTCTCCTCCTCCCCCTTAGCGGGCAGTGTCAAGTGTCATATTACAAAATGCATTACGGTCTTTTACAATCAAAACTTTTTATAATCTCGACATAAAACATATCATTGGAAAGGTCTGAGTCTCAGGATTCCATATCTGGTGGTTTTGTGATAGAAAGTAATATTGACAGAGAAATCTAGACATTTGTGACAGAAAAACGCATAAAAAAAATGAATGGAGTTTTGATGGCACCCGGTGGCTGTTTGTGGTATATCACCCTAAATAAACTCTCACAGAAACCTCAATTTTTTTTCATATCAACTTCAAATTTGGAACATAACTTATTTAGACATAAGGCTATAATTTTATACCAATTTTAGAGTAAAACCTGATATGTAAAATATTTATTATATATAAAATAAAATTAATAGTGCATTTTCTTTACAGCAAATTTAAACTACTATAACTTTTTGATACTTACATTTTTTGAAAATTCCACTTTTGAGATAATTTGCTGATTTTCTTCTTTAAAAAGAGACCAACCTTATGTCTGTATTCCAAAGTGATAACAATTTAAGTTTGGATAGTGCACTTTAATGCCTATTTTGAAAAAAATGGGGGTTGACAGTTAAGGGGTTCAAATAAAAATAAAGCTATGTAAACACTTGCATTTTTATAACACCAAGTGTGTCCCATCAGGTAATGAAAAGTTCGACACACACTTGTGGTCTTCATCCTCACTTGAACACTTGGACCAAATACAGGAAATCCGTCATATAAGTAGTCAAGTGCAAAGACCGTAAGTGTGGGTATTTGGACAAGGGGTGTATCCTCTGTGTGTTTGTACCTGTTGGATCTGCTGGATTTCTCTCATGGCCAGTCGTATGGAGGGGTAGAGTCGGGGGAACGGTCTGCTCTCTCTGGTCGGATCGTCGTCCTTGTGCTCCATCTGAGCGGCTTCGACCCGTCTGCGGCGGTCAGAGATACGCTTGAGCACCGGCGGTTTGTGGGACTCTGGGTTTGAGCTTCCTCCCGGCGGCAGGAAGAGCCGCTGCATCTGTAAGTGCACTTTATGTGAACCTGTGTCCATGTCCTGATCCTCAGCAGGATGTTCCACTACCGCCGATGATGATGATGATGATGTAAACGCTTTGAGCTCCTCATAGTCGGGCTCCTGATCACACATCTGCACACACACACAAACCAGCGTTACTCTCTCTTGATACTGAACACACGGCTGTGAATGGAGCGCAGTGTAACATGTTACATGTAACGGCGTTACGTAATTTAATTACAAAATAAATGTAACTGTAATCAGTTACAGTTACTGGGAAAAATGTGTAATTAAATTACAGATTACAAAGGGGGTTGCCTTTGAATATTTTCACACACATACAGATTTGAGTGATTTCTTTCATAAATTGCAGTGACTGCTCTAAAATATGAAACACTAAATGTTTCAAGAGTTTAGGACACATGCTTAGCCGATAACTGTTTTATTTGTTTATGCATATGCTTTATTTTTTAAGATTAACAGTTTTTTTCCAAGGCATTGTTAGATGCCAGTGTTTTCTGTCATAGCTATGCAAAGATTTTATTTCAAAAACAGTATCATAGCTATTAAACTATTTCTTATGATATTAAATCTGTATTTAACCTCAGAAAGATCTCAAAGTAAATGGCAGTGCTAAAATTTTGTGGTGGCCGTGCTTTGAAATTAAATGATTATAACCTTAATTCAAGTGATGAAGGATTTTGAAAGCCTGACAGTAATCAGTGTTGAGTGCTAGTATTAGACATTTAGAAAAGTACTCAAATGTAATCATTTACATTGCTTCAATAAAGTAATTGAAATAGTTACACTACTTATTACATTTTAGATAGGGTAACTTGTAATCTGTAACCTATCACATTTCCAAAGTAATACTGAGCGCAGGACACTCACCTGACCACAGGGCAGCGTCAGCAGCTCCATGAAGGGCTTGATGCCCACCTGAGTGTGATACTGGACCAGATCTGTGAGAGAAGAATGAGCCCGATCCTCCCCAAGAATCACATACTTCCCATTGCTCTGCATCTCCACCATATAGTGACGACAGCGATCAGCACCCCTGATACACACCATAAATCATAAATATGATACCAAGCGATAAATAAAAATATATAAATAAACAAGTTCAACATGAACAACATAATTACTTTTTTTTTAATATAAATAAACAAGAATTATTATAATTAAATAAAAAACAAACAACAAAAATACTAATGATTTTGGATATTAGTTTTTGCATATTATTGTTGTTGTTAATAATGACTATTAGTCAAATTATTAATGAATAATTATTATTTGTAACAAGTGTATACTATTTATTTAAATTTATTCATATGTATTTATTAGTATTAATAGAAATATTTTTACATTATATTATCGTTATCACATCATTAAATAATAACATTAATTTGTATATGAATAAAATAACTATTAATAATAATAAATAATAATATTAAAATTAAATATGGAATAAAATATTGTAGTTTTTGCACATTAATATAAATGCTATTATTATGAATATTAATGACAATTATTATTAACAATAATAATAATATAAATATATACTATTTATATTTATTCTTATGTATGTATTATTATTTATATAAATAATACTGTTTAAAATATTTTTACACTATGCAAATGCAAATTAATTATATAAATTAGTAGTAATAATAATAATAATAAGTACAAAAAATGGAGGGAAAAAAGCATCACATTTTGTTGCTGACATGTTACATGTTTCCACCATTTAAGCTTATGTAAAATCAAACTTAAACATTCATGGTCTTTTTTATGACAAAATAACTCTGTTTAAAACAAAACCTGATTAACATAGTCATGTATGAAGTTACTGGTACAAATCTGTTAAACCGTTCTCTTATTGTCACATAAAGGAGTTTCTCTTGCATCATCGGTTAGCGGAGATGCATATAAACCTTATAAACAGGTTTTTATAAGCTGATTTCTACTGATGTACTCATGTACTATAAGTCTGGTTTAGTGAATGACTACTTCAAGTTTAAATATGCAGCACAGGTCATACTACTGCTGGTGCTTTTGTTGTGGTTTTAGCACCTTTATCTGTGGACTAGTCTGCTGATTTTGACACAGAACGCACCTGAAGGTCAGCGTGTAACCCTCCCGGCTCTGACCCACACGCACCAAGAAGCAGCCGAGAGGTTTGTCGATCAGGAGATCTTCTGCTTGTCTGAGAAAGCAAGGTTACAGTCAGCATATTTTAAATACTGTATGTTCAGATGATCAGGGATTAAAGTGTTCCGTCGCTACGACGGATTTCCGTCAGTTCATTAAGAGAGTCACTTGCTTCATTCCTGAATGATTCAGCCGTTCGAATGAATCGATTGAATTAATGATTCAGTGATCAAATCAGTGACTTGCCGCCACCTGCTGGCGGATTTAGTTTCATTTTTAAAGTATCT